GTTTGAGTACATCAGTTTGGGGCATCAGATTGTGACACTGTTGTATGAAGGTAAAAGGTAGTCTTAGTTACAGGAAGTAGGTGTATAAGGAGTGGTCTGGATGTTTAAAGATTGACCCTGCTCCCTTTCTGACCTTTTTTCTTCACTATCCACTGAAAAGGGAGCAATCTGTTACCTCCTTCTATCACTGACTCTATATCCAACCTGGGGGGATTGTTTTCCCTGAGTCTTAATCAACATAAACTCTTTAAATTGTTTAAATTGTTTCTGGCCTGTACTTAATCACCATGCTATGAAAAAGAGCTAACACAAAATTGCTGCCAAAAATTGGAGTTCTTGTTTCACTGTGAGAAACATGACCATTTGGAATCCTTTTGTGTGAGGGAAGAGTTTGGAGCTATGGACTTGCCAAATGCTATTGCTTTGAGGTATTTCATCTCAATGGAAACATTCACTCACAGGACTTGGAAATTAAATGAAATATGCAGAACTCAGGAATTAAATGAAATTTACAAGGTCAGGAGACTCCTGAAAATTAAAAATTCAAAAGATCTCTTCACAATGCTATATAAGCAGTAACAATTCTCAAAGAGGAGCATCTTTGACTAGCAGGGATCTTCAACAATGCTTAGTTTTATGAGTCATTATGTTTTCCAGATAGAGACTAGACACAGGTTCACTGGTAAGCAGATATACAGGGAAAGAGCCTGTGGCTAGATAATACTTGATGAGCTTCTTCCTCACCTTCTGACCTGAGACAAAAACCTGTCATTAAGAAAAAAGGAGGAAGAAAAACAAAAACCAACCAATCAGCCAACCAACCAACCACCAACCAACCAACCAACCAACCAACCAACCAACCAACCAACCAACCAGATAGAAAAACAAGCAAACAACACAATGCAGCCTTGGAGAGGAGACTGGATGTTTTGGCTTCCAGAGTCTACCTCTGCTTTGAAAAAGGTTTTATTTTCCCTCTGTGTCTTACTGCATATGTGTATTTCCTCATCCCCAAGAAAAGCCTTTCTCCAACTGGTAATTCTATTGCTGTATCCAGTGCTGGGATCTCTCTGCTGCTTCCTGTTGGACTGGAGATTTTTTCTGCCTTTCTGTTCTTTAGCTAGCTGAGTTGATGTACCTTATCAAGACCCCTCAATTGTCTCTCTAGGATGTGCTTTAGTGGGATGAAACTGTCCTTTACATCATTTTGTAGGTTACTTATCATCATACTGCAAGCAATCCCTATAAACTCAGTAGTTCACAAAGGTAGACTTGATGAGTAGATATTTTTTCCATGTGTCCTCAGGAAGCCATACAACACCTAAAATGTTGTAATTAGTATTCATGGGACCATTATCATGGGAAGAGGAAGGCATTCCCAGTGCCTCACCATATCTTGCTTTATGGTTCTCTGAGAAATATGCATAAGCTGCTGTACTTTCTCATCACACCTTCTCCAGCTATCATGGACTGTATTCTCTTAGCTGTGAGGCAAATAAACTCTCCTCTCTCAAGTTACTTCTTGCTGGATATTTTGTCTCAGTGAAGAGATTAGCATACTGCTCTCAGAATTTTTTCACTGTCTAAACATGAATTCCAAAATTTTCAAATTAGTGAATCAAATAGGAATTTTATTTTCAATGGTCTCTTAGTGTTCTGCTATTTATACTATTCTTTGGAGCACTGTACTCCAAACAAGGATGAGTGCAGAGTCTGTGGAAGGGCTGCATATCTCTAAACATGAATTCCAAATTTTTCAAATTAATGAATCAAATAGGAATTTTATTTTTAATGGTCTCTGAGTGTTCTGCTATTTATACTATTCTTTGGAGCACTGTACTCCAAACAAGGATGAGTGCAGAGTCTGTGGAAGGGCTGCATATCTCTGTCTCCCTTTTCTTCTTCCTCCAAAAGACAGCTGCATATTTGCTTTGAGTTAGACAAGGCGAAGAAAAATAGCAAGGACAATGTGGAAAGTCAGTCTTGTTCATTTTCCCATACATGCAGAAGCTCTACAGAGGAATTTAGTTAAGAAGAATCTACTTAAGATCGCTGAAAAGTACAGCAGAGAATTGATTCTTCAATTTTAAGAGTAGTAAATATTGTAATTCACCTTAGTTAAAAATCATGATTTATGATTAAAAATCAAGTATAATGAAGAAAAGATATGCAAATTATGGTGAGATTTTGTACTTGAGAATTTGGGGAAAGAGAAGTATGGCAATATTTTTAGGTGTTTACTTCCTTTCTGTTTTGTTTTCAGAAAGTCTGCTTCTTTCATGTGATCTAACAGGTCACATGTTGTTCTAATAGGATAAGAAATAAATGAGCTACATTATAAGTCAACATTACAGCAAAGCTAGTTTTGCAGATCTTAATTGGCTTTGTGATTCTAGAATCAGCTGGTAGTCTGGACCAAAAATAGTTCAGAATGCTTTGGCTTACTACATGGGATGGTTATTTTTATCACCACAGAAGAGGAAGTGAATACACAAGATAGAAATGAATAGAGACAACTTGACTGATTACAGCTTATATCTGTCTTATTTGAACATGGAAGTAACAGCTGGCTTGTGATTTGCTGAGACCCTGGCCTTTTTTCAGGAGTTTTCAAAAAGCTATCAAGTTAGGTCTCACTATCAGCAGAATTTTAGTCTCAACTTAAAATATGTATGTATGCAGTTTTTGGTTTACCAATTCTTCCCAAAAGAGGTCAACGGGATAATTTCTCATTACTGAGCTCTGGCTGTTCAAGTGAATCTTTGTTAATCCTTTGAAATTCTTCATATTTTATACCAAAACCCAGAAATTCATTCAAACTTGGTTTTCAAACTTGAGTTTTAATTTTTAAAAATATTTCCTATAATTTTTTAATTATGCATTTTATTTTAAAATTAAATTTTATTATAAAACATTTTAAACAAAAATCATTTATGGTGTGTAATTTTTGAAAAATTATATCTATAGGAACTATTGTTGGTGATAGATGAGGGAGGACTTATATCACTGTCCTACAGTCTACATTTTTGTTATATGTCTATTTTGTATGTGGGGATTTTACTTGGAATTATATCTAAAGGGGAGTTGAAAGTGGTGAAAGATTTATGCATTTGTAGTATGACAACATTAGGTTTGAAATGTAAAAGATTTTGGTTCACGGCTCAAATTTGAAAACTGTCTCACCCTATGGGCATATTGTGGGGTGGCTGGAACTACCAACTCATGCGATGAGATAGGATTTCTGCTATGTTTGCAGGAGTGGCCACCTCTGCCTCCCACTATAGTGTGCTGCGGCCTTATCTTTCAGGATTAATGCTTGCCTCTTATTTTATCCTGAACTATATGAATACATGGTTGATTTTTTCTGCTTATATAAACACGGTTTTCTTCACTTGTATATTGCAAGCATTTTCTCACATCATTAAGTTCCTATAAACATATACTTTAATGTTTATGAATTATTACATATATTGAGTAATATTCTCATTGGAAATTTAGATTGATGTTTTTATTGATGTAATAAACAATGCCTTGATGAAAATTGTTTTGTCAATATTTCTTTGTATTCACTCAAAATAAATTTCTAAAAATGGATTTTACCATTAAGGAATGCCAGATTTGTAAAACTCCATACGTTTTGGTAAACTTCTTTTAAACGTTGCTAATTTTAGTCTCATAAATAAATATAACAATACAGAGTTACAAATGATGGTTTTAAATGTAACTTTTTGTCTCCTAAGAAAAGGAAAATCCACTGTCATTATGAAATCTTTGTCGGTAACGTACCTATTAAAAGTCAAGAAAACGTATGCATGTGCGATGATATACTGCACAGGATTTTCTTCTGAAATCGGTGGGAATTAAAAATACCAGCAAAACATATAAATAAAAGTGTTTTATGTGTTATTATTAATCAGCTAAAAATTTTAGCTATATAGCATGTACTAAAAAGTGGGAATGTTTGTAGACTAAGTGAGCATGCTAGAGCCCAAGCATGTTTCTTTCAGATGCACAAGTGCAGGGTTTCAAAGTGTAAAGGGAATGTGATACTTGACTCCTGCATTTAAAACACATTACAGCTTGCAATCCAAGCACTAACAGCTGTCAACATGGCCATTTATATTTCAGTCAACTGTTATTATTTGAATGCCAAGGTTCAGCATGGATTACCATTTATTAATTTTCTGAATCTGTCCATGTCAATTTTCTCCATACGCTTTGCTTGTAAAATAAATAAAGTGTTGGCATCGTGATGGGGATGGAGATAAAGCATGCAAATCACTTTGCTAAGAACAGCATGCTAAGAACCCATGTGACTGCTCAATACCACCAGCAGTGTTACTTGTCCCAATTGAAACTTTCTATACTCATGCAGCACACACCATTATCACTGAAAAATATGAACTGCTTAGCAAACCACTTCAGGTTGAAGCAATGCTATCAGAACCAGGATATTCTACTTTAAAATAAAAGACTTTATTAAAAATAATTGTGATTTACTGCTTAAATTTTTTTTTCATTTAAAAAGATTGCAGTTTGCATTATTTTTAATTTGGCAAATCTGCTCTAGAACATAATAGAGACCTATTAAGCATGTCTGAAAAAACATAAAAGTAAGCTGTTTCCTCCATTGTAGAATTAGGAAAATTTCTTTTTATACTGGGGCTTTTAACATTTATCAGAGATCACTGATCAAAAAACACTGATCAAAATAAAAAATCTTAGTGAGGACTACGTGTAAAATTTTATTGTTCATTAGAGAAGGGGTGAGAATTTATAAATAGTATCTCCTCCCTCCTCCTTGCCCAATGTCTATCCATCATGAGTTATTTTTGTTGGCTACATTAAGAACTTGACATTTGATTCATTCACAGTGTGTCCTGTCTTGGTCCTTTGAAACAGAATGGACAGTGAGCAAAAGGTCAAAGCTGTTGTTGCTGGTTGTATATGTACAGGACCATTACTGACAAGAGACCCTTAGGAAGATCACAATATTAACTATGGCAAAATGCTTGGTCAAGATTAGGACTCAACGAAGTCTCCACTTGCACATGATGAACCACTGCAGCAGTAATGTGTTTGTTCGTCTGCTGAAACATGGCTCCAAGGTCATACCTCGAAATGCTGGTACGTGCTTTTTCCTGAGCTGTCATTCTATGCCTAGTTAAGTGTGATTGCTTCCAGATGCATTCTTACCATTGGTGATCCAGAGAGAAGCTGAGGATAATGTGGCATAGAGTTACTTTTATAAAGAGTGAAGAAAGAGGAAGAGAACAGGAAGGAGAGAAACAGAGAAGGGTACTGAGGAGTGTAAGCAAGTAAGTGAGAAGGGAAATGGGAAGCCAAGTTCTATTGTGCAATAAAATAATAAAGACACCTTCTTTATTCAGCAGATACAAGAGGAAGGCTGTTGTGTATTCCTCTAGATTGTTCAGTAGTGAGAGATGATGCTGATCAAACATGATCAAAATACTCTGCCTCTCACTATGTGAGTTTCTGATCTCAGGTCTATTTCTGATAATGAGGCAGAGCTCCTTTATTTATCTTCCAAGTAGAATTTTATTAAAATATCAGACCTTCTTCTGGTCTCTGATGGCTCACACACACAGAGAAACATGAACATGAGTAAAATTAAAATTGAATAAAAATAACTTCAGTCGGGCTGATGTTAAGCCCATTTTTCTTCCCAATAATTATCATATTTATGGTATTTTGTGGTCTGAGAAACTGAAATAGAAACTAAACTAGAAATTTACAGTCAGAGCCACAGCCACGATGCTGTTGTAACATGTACAACTCTGAAGTCAGATAATCAGTCACAATGCTGCTGAAATTACATGTGTTCTTATGTTTGTGTATTTTTTTGTCTACTGGTTACAACAAAATTTATTCTAAAAAATAGCTGGAATTAGTCATAGCTGAGTAATATTCATAAAATTGATGTCCTAGTTGAAGTTCACTGTATTTTTATTATGAGCAATGTGTGATGTGTTATTGTTTTAAAACTTATATATTTATTATTTTATTTTGTTTTGTTGGAGAAAAGCTTGTATGACTAGGCTAGCCTATAACTTACTGTGTCATACAAAGGTGGCTGGCAACTCACAATCCTCCTGTGCCCTCACGTTTTGTATGATTTATATATACAAGTATTATGTTTATCTTATTTTTAAAAACACAAATGTGTAGAACATTTTCTTGTGCATTAATGCTCTCAGTAACAAGTTTAGGAAAGCTGAAATGCCATATGAAGTTTTTTTTATGAATAGTATTATTCTAGTTATACTAAAAGAATTTCTATATTAGAATATATTAATATGAATCTTTTCAAAACTGGACAATAATATAGAGAATATTTATTTTAATGTAGAGAAATAATAATTCACATATTATAAATCACAATATTATCATTGTAAATCAGCATTTCTTGGTTTTTGGTCGTAATGGGTAGTGATGAAAATAATTTAGAAATAAGGTATTTCTTCACGATTCCTAAAAATATATTTGTTAGGGTATATAATACAAATTTTCTGAAAATAGTCCAGGTATCTTTTAAAGACATGAACAAAATAAATATGAGAATGTTTGCTTTCTACATGACTACTACTATTAGGATCATGACCTTAGCATTTGGGAGGCAAAATTCCTGTGGATGTAGGTCAGTAGTAGACTCATTCCTTATGTACTAGGAGCTAGTTTCCATGACCTAAGTTTAAAAAATGTTCCAGCTTTTTGTTTTGTCTAAAAGCAAAAGGAGTACAGTCATTTCCTATATGCATTATTTGACAGAGTGATATATTTTTCTAGATGACACAAAATGATTGCCCCACACCCACAGTTTATATGAGGGTTCACTCTTGGTGTACTTGGAACATGTTATGAATCTGTACAAGTACGTATCAGTATTGGATCATAAAAATTTCACTGAGCTAAAATCTTCTTTGTCACTTCTACAATTATTGTTTTCTCCCAAACACTGGTAGTCACTTTTCCATCATCACCATTCCTTACTAACACCATGGATGACCATCAAGGACAATAACAGACGTGGAATGCAGCTCACCTGAGCCTATTAGACATGTGCCTGTGCTGTGTAGCAGACCCAGAGAAGGAGAGATGCTCAGGCCTTTTGAACACTAGAGGATCCTAAGTTACAGACATCTGACACTGAGCTTTGCACTGTTGAACTTTTTGCTGTTGTTGATTTGATTTAACTGTTCCCCGGTCCTTTTGAAATGAGAGTACTTGACTTCCCTCTTCCCCCTGAGCCCAAAAGCTTACACTTAATGAGACTTTGGAGATGTAGAGAGATTTTAGATACTATTGAGACTGAACTTTTAAAGAGATCTTGTATTTATTGAGATTTAACTTTAAAAGTGTTTGAGTTTTTAAAGACTATGGCATGTTTAAAAGTTGAAATATTTCATATTATAATCATGAAAGAAAAGGAAAGTTTATGATTTAGTAGTAATGTACTTGTGTGCCAATTTGACAAGGGGTCAGTTGTGTTAGTTTTATGCAAACTTAACACATCTAAAATCTTTTAGGAGGAAAGACGCTCAATTTAGAACACATATTCTTTTTTTTTAATAATTTATTTTTTCTCAAATCGTAATTCATTCACACAGGGGTTATAAACACAGAAAGGCAGGATGTGGGGAAGGGAATGACACTGGAGTGTGGATGATCAGGAGGAATACAGATATCATCAGAACCGGGTATCGGCTAGATGAAGGTTCAGGGGACAAGTCACTATGACTCTGCCTATGACTCGCTTGTCCTTATCTAAGTTGGAATTGTCTGCCCAGGCTACCTATTTACAAGGTCTATGATTACTCAGGCTGGTAAATTTCCACAAAAGCTGCCTGTTGACATTAGCTTATAGCCATCTGTTTCAGTGTTTTTCTGCTGAGACCCAAGACTTGGTGTTGGTATACATGTATGCCAGGCCTAGCTGATTTTAGGCCTATGGCTGATTTTAGGCCTTCAGTGTGTAATCAGGGATGCCCCTGACATCTCCTCCATTCTCTAAGTATAGAAGGGCTGTGGGAATTCTAAACTTGGGAAGTCAGGGATAGAGGCCTGACCTCCAGTATTTGAAGGGGACCTTGTAATGGCTCCAGTCCCCCTGTCGTTGTCCAGTGAGACATGAGGGCCATACCTGTCCTGATGTCTTTTTCCTGTAGAGGGGATACTTTTGACATCAACCCCTAGGCAGTCAGGCTTGTCCCTCAGGGAACCCAGATAGATATTTTTATCTTTTATTTATATTCCCTTGCAGTAGAACACATATTCTTAAGACTGGTCTGTAGGGGCTGGAGAGATGGCTTGTTCTTTAAGAGAACTGCCTCTTTTTCCAGAGGATCCTGGTTCAGCTCTTAACACCACTCGCTACCATTTGTAACTTCAGTTCTAGGGGATCCAAGACACTCTTTTGGTCTCTGTAGGCATCAGACATGCATGCGGTACACAGACATACATTCAGGCAAAATACCTATAAACATAAAAAAATTATTTGTGAAGATTGACCTGTAGGCAACTCTTTGGGTATTTTCTTGATTAATGATTGACGTGGGAGGGCCTAGACCCTGTAGGTGGTGCCTTCTATCTCTGAGCTGGTGATTCTGTGTTGTGTAAGTACACGGGCTGAGCAAGCAATGAGTACTATGCCATTAACTAGCAATTTTCCTTGGCTTCTTCTTCAGTTTCTGCCTTGAGTTCCTATTCTGGCTTCCCACAGTGACAGAATGTGACCTGAGTGTTATAAGACAAAAAAAAAAAAAACCCATTTCCTTTCCTAGTGACTTTCTTCATGGTGTTTTATGACAACAATAGAAGCCCTAGCTAGTAAGAGTTTCTGCTTTTCCAGGATGTTTTAAGAAGCAAAAACCTCACTCACTTTGCCTCTGCTAGCTGGAACTTGGATGTAGGTAATTTTGCTCGGAGCTAGTTTTTGAGGCTTCTTCTGCCCAACTGCCATGGAGGAGCCATCAGAGAAAGTCGATCCAGTTGAGGTCCCAGAAACTCCTCAGACGAAAAATGAAGAGCACTCATCCTGTGATTCAGAAGTCCTAGGACCAGAAACACTAGTGAAGGTCATGAAAAAGCTAACCCTGAAAGCCCAGTGCCAAGGGGCAGCACGTCACCTGATTGAGAGCAAACCTGTGGAGAACAAAAGTGAAAGAGTCCCGAGGGAAGTTCAGAGCGCCTTTCCCAAGAGAATGGTATGCACATTGTTGTCAGTGCTGCAAGATCCTATAGCAAGGATGAAGCGATTTGCTCGGATTGAGCAGAGACAAAAAAGGCTTGAGGGCAATGAGTATAAAGTGTTAGGATATAAGAATTCATAGAGAAGCTTGAGACCCCCCTCATCTGAATTAAGGTTGGCAGGTTCACAGGCCTAGGTTCCAGGAACTAGCTGGCCACCCTAAGAAAGAATTAGCCAGGGGGCAAGTCAGCCAAGTTGTTCAGAAAAAGAATGGCAGAACTAGTAATATAGTTCGGCCAAGCCATCTTGGGAAGTGACTGACCACAAGGTAAATGACTAGGCTAAGGTCACATTCCTGAAAAGAATGTATACAGGATGTTACTCACTCTCCACCCCTGTAGGTCTGTGGCTAGTTGAATAATGGAAACTTTCTGTGTACAGGATGTTTCCCACTCCCCTGGTTTATGATGTGGATTGGAATTTCCTGCTATTCCCTCTTGGTTTCCCCCTTCAGCCCCCTTGTTTGCGGTTTTCTCCTTTAAATGTCCCTTGTGCCCGAGCCTGGGGGTCAAAACTCCTGCCCTTGTGTGGGCTACAAGTTTCTACCTCAGCATGCTGATTATTTGAAATATACCTCTTGCTGATTGCAACAAGAATCGGTGTCTCGTGGTCTTTGGGTGGACGTAATCTCTCGTGGGTTGAGTGGGGGTCTGCCCTCTCCCGGGGCCTTACAAAAGGGAAGAGAGAGCCATTCAGATGTCTCTGCACTTTCTGCCATTATCAAGGATGGGTTTTTTCTGAGAATGCTGAAAAACGGGAAGAACTAGGACAGTTTAAATTGTACACTGTCTTTCCTGTTAATGATGCCACATAGCAGATTCGAGAGCTGTTTCTTGTTTGTTTTTTAAGATTAAACATT